AATGACCGAACGTTAGACTTAATTTTGGCAAATTTCGATGATATGCATGTGACTGCGGCACTACCTATAATCAAACCTGATAGACATCACCCTTGCTTGAACATATCCATTGGACACCAGCAAGCATTTAAACCCATCAGGCATAACCCAGTCCGTTTAAAAACAAATTTCCATAAATGTAACTTTATAAAGATAAAAAATCATTTTGTTAATACAAATTGGCAGCATCTTTTAGCTGAGGAAAATGTAGATGATGCAGTTGAAATATTTTATCAAGAATTAAATAAAACTATTTTTCTTTATACACCCTTGCAGAAAAGTTCATACATAAATATCCATACTGGTACAGTCCTGCTTTGATTCGCTACATTAAAGAGAAACTAAAATTTCATAAATTGTATAAAAAATTTGGCAACTCAAGATATTTACGATACTTTTAATTTATTGAGGAAAGGAAGTAAAAAAATTAATAGAAGAGTGTTATAAGAACTTACTGCATATATTTTCAATTCTTCTTTAAAAGAAGGTGTCGTTACTGATATATGGAAAAAAGCTTTCATCGTACCCATTCATAAAAAAGGCTCTAAAACTCAAGTTGAAAATTATGGAGGTATCTCGATACTAAATACATTAAGGCAAGGTTTTCGAAAAAAATTTCTATAGTTCTATAGCAATATCTACCCCATAATAGCCCAACAAATAAATACCCGAGAATCAACACGGTTTCCTTAAAAGGCAATCGACTGTCACTAACCTAGCTTGTTTCTCAGAATACGTGATTAGTAATATGGAAAATGGTGGGCAGGTGGACGTAATCTACACGGACTTTGAAAAGGCGTTTGACCGGGTAGATCACTCCATCTCTTAAACAAACTAAGGAAACTTGGCATACACGGGGATCTTCTAAGATGGATAGAATTTTATTTAACTAAACGTTCCCAGGCAGTTGTGGTGGTGAGTGGATTCAGATCAGATTACACAGAAATACCCTCCGGAGTCCCCCAAGGTACGTACTTGGGACCTCTCTTCTACAATGCGTACATTTACGACTTGCCTAATTGTCTCATGCATTCTAAACATTTGTTGTATTTGTGATTGTTACACGATACAGGCGGAACTGGGCGTATTGTATAATTATTACATGACTAATAAGATAACAGTGAATGCCAAAAAATGTCAATGCATATCTTTCACTCGCAAAGCGAACCCCATCTTACACACATATAATTTTAATGGTGTACATACACATTGAAAGAGTCAATTTGGTTCGTGACCTGGGAGTTTACCTCGATAGCAAAATGTCATTTACTGATCATATTGACTTAGTCACAAAAAGGCATATAAAAATTTGTGATTCGTCTTGCCGGCCTGCAAGGCATTTAATAATATAGGCTCATTGAAGGTTGTATACTGTGCATATGTGCGTAGTCTGCTAGAGTACGCTAGTCAGATTTGGTCCCCTCAATACAAGGTGTATAAAGAACGCCTCGAGCGCATACAAAAAATCTTTTTAAGACACATCTCGTACCGGCGTCGTCGGTCGCACGAATCATATACCCGAGTCTGTCACGAAAATAGTCTATTAAATTTGGAAGAAAGACACACTAGATGTTTGCTTCCGCTTTGATATTGTTCGGGACAGAGTAGACTGCTCAGATCTGTTGCTTAAAGTAGCATTCTGCGCTCCTAGGCGTCGAACACGTCACACTCCGCTATAAAATGTGCCTCAACGTCGCACTAACTACGGATCTAATACTGTCATTCTTTTCTTCTACTGTCTTTTCCTCATATTTTTCATCTGTGTATGACAAACCGGGTAGCAATAAATTTGCATCGTTTACCTTTCCACCAAAACATCATCCTACTTTATCTAATATACGTATCTCAACTGAATTAGTGTGTCTAAGCTGTCGTAAATTGGATACTTCGAAGACTCCTGGGCCGGATGGAATTCCTGCTATATTTTTAAAGACATTTGCAGAAGTGCTTAGTTTGCCATTGTCTAATATTTTCAATAAATCACTAAGTACGGGTATTTTCCCGAAAATCTGGAAAAATATTCTCACATATACAGCCATGTTAAGCAAAAAAATTCATGTATGCAACATGGCTTTGTATCTAGTCGGTCTATGATAAGCAATTAGCTCATTTATAGAAATCACATCAGTACTGCTATTGCTAATCGTCGTCAGGTGGATTCAATTTATACAGATTTCTCTAAGGCATTTGACAAGGTCAATCACGAGTTACTGTGTTCAAAATTAGAATCTTATGGTATTCATGGCAATTTACTTCGTTGGGTAAGATTGTACATATCCAGGAGCAGTCAGATTGTTGCGGTCAAAGGTTATAACTCTGCTCCAGCAGAGGTCACGTCTGGTTTTCCCAAGGATCCCATTTAGGGCCATTGTTTTTCATTATTTTTATAAATGATTTGGTTGACACAATTCGGAGTCACTGTTTGCTTTATGCCGATGATATGAAGATATACCGGGTTATAAATGACGTGAATGACATTGCATGGTATTGCATTACAAAAAGACAGATGCAGTTTACGATTCGTGTTCTGCTAATCTTATGTCCTTAAATATCAGTAAGTGCTTATTTATCACTTTCTCTACTAAACACAACCTGCATTTTAAATTCAATATCATTAGTCAGCCTCTGACGCGCAAGGAGATTGTTAAGGATTTGGGTGTATATTTCGATTCAAAATTTTCGTTTCGTCCACATTATGAGTTCATAACGCAAAAAAGGTTCAAAACCTTAGGGTTTATAATTCGTGTAACGAAAAATTTCTCCAAACCTCTCGCATCATTTCGATTATTTTATACTGGAGTATGCTTCAACTGTATGGTCACCCTTTTATAAGGTACATTCTGACAGTATCGAGAGGGTGCAGAGTTGTTTCCTTCGCAGTGTTTGCGGGAGATATGGTCATTTGCGTCGTCTACCATCATACGACTAAAGTATTTTAATGTCCAGCGTTATCTTTGAGGAGACAATTTGCTGACCAAGTTTTATTTGCACAAGATTCTGCATTCTCGTATGGAGTGCCCAGAGGAGACAATTTGCTGACCAAGTTTTATTTGCACAAGATTCTGCATTCTCGTATGGAGTGCCCAGAGTTACTAAGGCTAACTAACTTCAATTCCGGTATACGACAACGTGTTCAAATAATTTTTAGGTTAGACGTACACAAGAATAACACTTCCTTTTTCAACCCTGTTGTCAAACGACGAGATTAAGCGTAGTAACGTACATCTAGATATATTCGATAGTAGCCTGGTTAGATTTAAAAGAAATTTACGTGTTTCTCTTAACGTTTAATGTATTTGTTATCTGTTTTATTTTTGCTAAGACTAAGATTATACTGTAGTTATATTATTATGCTGTGTACACTTTTTTGGATTGTAGTTTAGATCAACACAATTATACTTTTAATTTTAGACTACTATAACTACTGTCTGTGTACCTTATTCAATAAAATAAAATAAAACGTCTATTTGCAAGACAATCTACGCTTACTAATTATACGCTTCTGGATATATTGTGTTCCTCGTAAGTATTTACTACCTACCCGTCACAATCACACACTATCACTACAGCCCATCACAAGGCCACTACTAAACATAGGCCTTCACAATAGATTACCACAAAGTACGATTCTGAGTCACCTGCAATACATCGACTGCGTGTTTCATCAGGTCACCTCTACATACATTATAATGGATGACCTTTTTTACCGTCTGGAAAAAATTGTGTGTAACATGTGAACGGAGTAGAAAAGCCTATGGCACTGATATTTTACAAAAAATAAAAACAAAAAATTTGAATTAAATAAATATATTAATTAAAATCTATAGAAATTCAAATCATATCCTAGGGTGGATATGATTTAAATTTCGATAGATTTTAATTATTTATTTATTTCATTTAAAATTTTTGTTTTTATTGTTTTGTAAAATTTCAGTGCCATAGACTTCTTTCTACTCCGTTCCCATTTTACACCCTTTTTCCAGATGGTAAGAAAGGTCATCCAGTATATATTACAATGACAAAGTAAAGTAATATTTTATAAATATTTGATTGCTGGGCACAGGCCTCTTTTCGTTATTGAGAGGTTTATGGAGCGCTAGGAAAGTCTGTCTTCTTCTGTTCTTTATCTGGAACAAACTAATTTAAACTGAGACTAATTTTAAGCTACATAACTATATTTTCGTTTCATAATTTCCACAGGACTTCTTTATTGGAATAGATTTTAATTTAGACCTGAGATTAATTTTTCACTAGTTTAGCAAAAATATGGTTGGGTTTCATAGGCCATCGTTTTTCAGGGGCCAAGTGTCCTTTTGTAAAAATAACCCTAGACCAACCTACGCCAACCAATATTGATTTTACTCATGTCTCTAACACTTCATTCTATCTTGCTTTCGAATAGTGTGTTTAAATCTATCACATAAGTGTAAATCAAACACGAATAGGTTGACGGAAAACGAGTGGGTGTCTATATTCGTTCACACGCTCCTACGCTATCGAAAATATCTGACGATATTCGGAAGTTGTCGTCGCGATTAAATTATTAGGGAGGACATCATGAGCATGAGAGTTCTATTTTTTTTCTTCTTCTTCTTTTGATAATATATTTCAACGGCATTATGCAGCTGTATTATGGTTGCAGCATCAATAAGTCGGTTTGACTGGAGAAAGACCACACTCACAGAATACCAGCGTAAAATAGCAGCTTTGTGCTGCTGTGTTTCAAATGGTAACTCTTTTTACTGGAAACGAGGCATTCCATTTAGTTACTCAGGAGTGACAACGCATCTGTATTTTAATTCTAATTCAAGGATAGGTGCATATATTTATAGGTAACAGATCCACTTAACAAGAGATTAGTACAAAAGCTATATGTATTGCGACTTATGTTTGCACACAGCACAATTTGTGCAATTAACGAGCTTGCAAACAAGCGTCATTAAGCACGTATGTTTGGTCAGGTGTGTTCGACGCGCAGCCGACGGCGTCGGAGCGTCAGCGGGAGAACCTAAGTTCGCGACTTCGGCGCGAATTCGGGCTCGCGCTCCCCGACGACGACGACGCGCGCTCGCCCCACTGTGGTGAGTGTGTGCCCTTATATTACCTTTGCAGTCCTTCGAAATTCTAATGCTTAATATAGATCTCCCCGTAGATTACCCTCTATCGCCTCCTATGACACGCACGGGATGATATGGCGAAGTAGATATGCTTATACCGCTATTACACGGCCTCGTGTGGTAGCGTACTTGCCTTTACATGGTTGCTATCTTTTAAAACTGAAACCTTAAGGTAAACGCATTTATATATTCTTATTCTTTTATAATACAACTCATTCATAAAAATGCTAAAAGTATGTTTAAAAATCACCTTAGGAGGCCTCACCTAGGGAGGCCTCCCTAGACCAAATTTGTGAATCTCAACTGAGTTAAATGTTTTTTTTTTTTATATTAACCTCAAAGATCCCGACATTGTATGGAACTAACTCCGTCAGACCTATGGTCAGGCCAATGTCAATAATAAATTTTTGTTTGATACTTCGCTTTCAGAAGAATCCAACAGGGTTATTTTTTCAGAGTAGCCAAATTTTAAACTTACGTCCAAATATATAAGTATTTATATAGTGTTTTTGCAGTTTTTGAATATACGAGTAAATAAGGCTTTTACTTTTATTTGAAATTATCCCAAATTGAATGGGATTTATGCACAACAGCGTTTTTGCTTACCGATCGACCCTTACGAATGTGTGCGTGCGCAGTATAATCAGTTAAAATAATGCATTACCACGCATTTTGAATTTAAAAGATAAAAAGGACAGAATGTTTGATATATATTTTAATAAATTTTTCTTCACCATTTGTCTATACAGTTAACACGCGTTAATACCACAAACGTTTTGTAAGGCGGTGTCGGATCAAATTTGTCGGACTATACAATATAGAAGAACTGCCACAGCCCCCTTGGTAGTCCGGAACTTTTTGAAAAAGAGTACCTTGTAATCTGACAAATTACATATCAAATATACAATATTAAAAAATAAAAATGTCATGTAGTGCACAATGAATACCTAAAGAGTAAATAATGAATGCCCGCTAGGCCGCTACCAGTCACATTTAAATTCTAAACTGAGACGGTACGCGTCAAGCTAGATTCATAGTGGCGCGAACTAAGTGCAACCCGTTTTTCCACGTATTCGCGAAGGACACCTCCCACCATGGCGGATTCCATAATGCGAATTGGTTGTACTTATATGCTATAGACATGTCGGATTACAAGGAGGGGGAGTTAGCCGGGGACCAGATTACCGGGGGTCCACTGTATTACTTATTCTGAACTTTCTCTCCAAAATTGGCTGGTTATTGCAAAATAACGCTGTATATACGCAAGCTTGCAGAAGTGCGTTGCACTGATATAAGGTTTAGGAACTTGATCTAGAAATCGAGGTACCTATACTTGCTTTAGCAGTACATATACTAAAATAGGTTCAATGTTTCTACTTACCTTTCTTCAAAATCTTTAATTCCGGCTATATTCCTCATAAAACTTACCCACAGAGTACGGTCTAACCACCACATGATGCAAAGTAATTAATATTAGTGTTGCGCGCCTAAGTTGACGTCATGTACCAGGCACTAGCGATATCTAGTGTCGGGGACCAGAGCGAGGAGGGCTTTCCAGAAAATGACATGACTAATCTTTTAACCAACAGCGCCATCTAGTATCAAATTGAAGAACTAAGCTTTCTAGAAGCCTCACACTCGAACTTTCTGCGTCTGGTCGGTCGGCGCCCGTATCTACGGGAATATTCTGGATGTTTCGGCGTAAAAGTGTATTTAAACCCGCTGCATACCGCGATCGGGGCAGTATTGAATTTGGCGAGACAAGCGAAGCTTCGGAGCGAAATACAGTGAATCAGTGTGATTAATTATTAGTGTCTTTTAAGTTTTAATTGGTGTTCGGTAATAAAAGTGTAAATTTTGGTAATTCAATCGCCAGTTTTTATTGTCACGAACCTCAAGCTCGTAACATTATATTGATTAATTTATTATGTGTAATTTCAAAATATAAACAACTAGCTGTAACCCGCGGTTTCACCCGCGTATATCACGCGTCTCTGCCGCGCGACATGATATGACACGCGACATGAAAGTAGTTATTGTGAGATAACTATAATAGTTAGACATATGGTATTGCAGACTTTTATGTAGATATTGATGTCCTCCATAAAACTGTAGCACATCACTTTGCTCTATTGTCAATAGTTTCCGCAGCGTACGCGATATAAGGTTTTTTTTTGGTATTTTTTTCACACCTTGGGTTACATTAACGAAGTTTTCATACGGATCCCTAAATTTTTTGAAAACGTTCTATCGCCTATGTTCATCAGGAATAATGTAGGATTCTAATGGTGAAAGAATTTTTCAAATCGGTTCAGTAGTTTCAAAGCCAAATTTCAATTATATTTCAAAGCCAAATATTCAATTCAAACAAACAAACAAACAAACAAATCTTTCCTCTTTATAATATTAGTGTAGATGAAAAGGAATGAAAATTAATGACTCTATTTTGTTCACAGATGGCGCGGTGGTGCCAAAGCGGTGCGACAGGTAGTCTGCGGGCGGCTGTATGTACATATAAATAAGACATATTTTTGTAAATCTCACGTCGGCGCCGGCCCGTCGCTTGTTATTATAGGGTAAAGGTTGGCTTTATGGTGATAATAAGAAAAAACTTAAAATTTTATTTCAAAATTAACATTTATTAGAAAACCTCTTTACTTATTACAATAATCAGACTTTTCTTTTCAATAATTATTAATCACAGCAACTTAAATTCTTAAACATTAATAGGAAAATCAGATCAAACAAATCTTTTTGGTGTTGGCAATATGGAGATACGGGGGCAATTTGGTGATACCATATGTGACAATATGGTGACAAGTCTATTCAGGTGCCCAATCACTGTCATCAGTGCCTGAAAAGTCTACTTTATCACAATTATCACACAGGAACTGTGGCGACTCTGTGCCAGTACATTCTTGGTGGTACCATTTGCCGCAGCTCATGCACTCTACCCATACAGCTCCGTTCCTAAGTGCCACGTCTTGGGAGTAGTGAACACCGCAATAGTCACACATCGTACTTTTATTTGATTTTGGTGTTTTCTCTACCTTGACTCTTGTTAGTTTACGCTTCAGGTTGCTTTCATTTGAAGGTCCAGGAGTTGAAGAAGCAGAGGGGACACGAATCGAGGTAACGGTCTCCTCACTGGTAACGGCGACTGTGGTTTCGTTTGATATGGCGACGATGTTTTCTTCAGGACTGTCCATGTTGTTCGTGCTTTGAGGTGTTAAATATCGGGCCTGTGGATTCCGCTTAGCTCGTCGGGTACTAGAAGAAGAAGACTGTGGTACCTCAGGAACGGAAAGTAAAGAGAAAACTGAAGGTGACGCAGTTTCACGATTGACAGCAGAAGCTTGGGCATTATCAGTGGAAGATTCAATATTCTGTGACTGTAGGTCACTTGGCTGCATCAATGATGGGGCAATACTTTCATCAGAAATGGCATTTCGATCAAATGGCGCAATGCCAGTTTTTCGAAAGCCGTTCATAATTATTGACGGCTGAAATGCATGCTCGTAGGCTGGTGTTAATAGGCGACAAAAGTCAAGCCTTGTTGGAGCACTCGTTGGATGTTGAAGCTTATAATCATTTAGCACTTTAGCCCATGCATTTTTCAGTGACTTGTAAACAGAAACGTCCAGAGGTTGCAGGAGATGGCTTGTGTGACTTGGAAAAGTGAATAGATGAATGCCATTTTTTGTAGCGAAATCTATAACATCTTGGCTGACATGGGTAGAGTGAGAATCCATGATTAAAAGTACCGGTCTAGCTGGTGGAATATGAGCTTCAAAATGATGCATCCACTCCAGAAATAGTTCAGAGTTAATCCATCCGTTTTTGGATAATCTCACGATAGAACCTTCCGGAGCACCATTCGCTAGATAATTGACCATTCGGACACCTTTAAAAATGATCAAGGGGGGGTACAGACGCTCCGCTCGCACTACAGCACCCAAGCACCGTTTGTGTGATACCTTTCTCTGCAAAAGTTCTACTGTAAATTACCTTCTTTCCAGTTTGAGTGACAATTTTTGACGGTTTTACGACGAACGTTACACCGGTTTCGTCGCAGTTATAAATCCTTTCAGGCTTTTGCAGAATATCCAGCTCAATAACGACGTCCAGTAGCTTTTTATAAAAATCGTCAATGTTTTGTCTGTTAGCAGTAACAGCTCGGCATGCTGCAAGCTTTTCTGGGGTGCGCAATGAAAGCTCGTACCGTTCTTTAAACGACCACCACCAATAAGGCCCAGCTTTAAGTTTAGCATCGTTAAACTGGTGATCTTTTCCTGCTTAGACTGCTAAAGCGTAACATTTAGCTTTGATGTCTGTGACGCTGAGACCAAATCCTAGTTCTTGCATTTTAATTATGTAGGAAACAAACTTACATTCAAGGTCGCTGTCTAATGTGAGTGGTCTCCCAAGTTTAGGTAAGTCGAAACTTTCACCTCCATGAGTAGCTATGTGTCTTCTCAAAGTAGACCACGGTATGCCATATTCCTTCGACGCCTTGTACGCTGACCAATTATTCCTTATAACTTTCATATAAGCCTCCTTGAAGCGTGAAGAGTCATAATTTCTGCGTTTCTCGCCTTTCATTTTCCTTTTATTTGCCTTTCCGGACTTGTTCCTGTAAGAAAAATCATCCAATACGTAAGACTATAACCCGGACTAATGAAACACAACCCGATATTTTTTTTAACAGAAAGATACAACATTTCGAGCTTCATCTACCCTGAAAACCCCATTCAAATTAAGCTTGAAATAAAATAAAAATAAGCTGTGTAAAGTTTTTGGTAATTTGGTGATATTTACGTACCGATTATCCTCCATTTTTTCGCATATTTTGGCGCGAAACAAATAAACCGCGTCCGGTGAGGACAGCGACCAGCGGCCAAATGAAAGAGAGATGAACATACTCGCCTTCAGTTTATTGAATGAACGCAAAACTCGCGCTGGGCATTATAAAGACCGTTGAAAGCAAAATTATCACCATATTGCTATATATCACCATTTAGCCAACCTTTACCCTATATTATTAATATATAACTTTTGTATGAACTTCGTGTAAAGAAGCAATCTGTGTATATTTCCGTTTTTCACTTTTACTTTTAATTTCGTTTAATTTTCACAGTTTTTCTGCAAGTACAAATTGTTTTTTTTTTCTCTGTACATATTGTATATAGGAGACTTTAGGTAGGGTATAATATTATGTGGTACGTATGTATAACGGTATATAAAGTTTATTTTATAAATATGTGTCTTTATTATATTTATTTATTACTGGGGGTTGTCGGCTCGGAGTTTTTGTACGCATAATCCATAAGTAAATTATAGTTGTTTTATTTGTTTTATGCTCACTTTTTAACTTTTATAGATGTGAGCCATTTAGATACCTAGGTATTTTAGTGTTAGACGAATCAGATGTAAGTTTAGCGATGTGTCGATACGTCGATCTAGCCGTTTATTAGGGGTTAAAACAGTTATATTTTAAGGGATGGATTTGCCCGACCATCACAAGGTCATAGTTCAGGCAGCCGGACGCCTACTGGTTTATTATCTCATTGTTCTCACTTCCAACTAGTGGGGTATGTTTCGTATTCTGCTAATTCAAACCGCAATATATTCATATGATGACATATCACGTAGCTATTATCACAATCACATCGCGATACGCTAAAGTTACAGCGGTGATGAAAAATGAGAGCATTATGCAGTTCCTATTTATTAAAACATATTTGTTGTTATTTATAGAAATTTGGTAAGAAAAATTAAGGTGTTGTGAAGAACAATTCTTTTCACGATGTGATTGTAATAATGATTTGTATATTCGTAACAAATTATAGTTTTAAATTTGAAATAGTATATCCACCTCCGTATAGTATCATATCGGCGCATTGCAGCTTACAGTAATAGGTTATTATGATTGAATACCTGATTTCGTTTATTTTAGAAGCACCATGTGTACGATTGAGAATCGATTTCTGTTTGGCTGACAATAGAAATAAGAATATACACATACACTTAAACAGGCATATACACACATATTTCTAATTTATACCACATTACAGAGGAATAGAATTTGTTAATGCTCTGAAGACAAGTTGAAGACATGAAAGGCAAGTTTGATGATCTTTACATACATATAAATATAATTGGAGTGTCTGTTTGCGATGTCAAAAGTCAAAATAACAGATTTTAACTGAATGCATATAAAAAGTATATACAGTACTTATAACAAATTTTTGTCTGTTTGTTCTGGTTAATCTCATAAACAGCTGGACCTATAAATTTAATTTTAATAGGAATAGGAATAATTTTTATTTTAGAAAAAGAATTAGGGTTTCGCCTTCGATCTACATATGTTGATCGAAGGCTTTCGCGCAATAAAATTAAACTTCATTAAATTGTGAACAAAATCCGATTTAAATAGGGAAGTATAATAATAAATCACTTAAAAATGTCTATGCAACCGAATTCGTGGACACAGCTAGTATTATATTAAAGCTGGTAAAACAATTCGGCAGGTCCGAAATCTTTATTGAATGTAACATTTAAAAATATTAGTGTTGTTCACGCAAACGTGCTGCGCACGCATTTAGTGTGGTTCGGCCTTTAAATCGTAATCGTGTCGATGTAATATAGCGTGGTAGTTTTTACATCTAATCTGAAAAATGACTTAAAGTTTTTCGAACTAGTATATTACGCCACTAGGGAGTAAAGTATGAATTTGCAATTAGGAATGATCGATGTTGTACATTATCGATGTTTATGCGTATGTATTTAATGAGTTGGAATTAGATGAAGAAAAAAAATTTACATGTTGTACATGGTTTATTATTAATGAAATAAAAGAAATTGATAAACAATGTACTTAGTTTAAAACAGTAATTAAAAAAATTGGAATAAGTTAACAAATGTCTAGTTCATTTTGTTATACAGTCTAATATTTTTTGCAGATTGATTGAAGAGATAGTAATTTTGGTTAAGAAGTACCTTTCAATCTGTTTCTCTGTTGCTAAAGAGTTGAGCCAGCTTTTGAAAATAACCTTCCGATAATCGATTATGGGTTCATTGACATCGATGTTAAAACATCGATGTTTTAATTTTTAACATCGATGATCATCGAACATGCCTAATTGCAACCCGCGAGGGTATTTTGCTCCTATAGTGCCTATATACTACTTTCTATCAGGCCAGGATCGAAAGTTCGATTTAAATTCAAGTAATATAATTTATTCTCAAAGTATCATGACATTATACTTTTTACGTTTAAATACTATAGAACTAAAAATTTGACGCATGCGTACTAAATTAATAAGTAATTGGATCGGGATACAATGTGGCACTTTCGTCCCTGAAAATAGGATCGAAATACGAACTTTCGATCAAGGTATAATAAAAAAAGGATATTTCGTCTACCCACTATAACTTCCACTAGCTATGTAACATGTGCTCTTAGCACAAATATTTGACACTAACGTTTTCGTATCGTCATCGACTAAAATTGCATAGTAATATGAACGGCGCCCCTGGCGGACGTAAACAGGTACTATTTTTTGTCGCAGTCTCTCGATTGCGATACGAAATCGATACGATGGAAAAATATGCTTATGCATTATTGAAATCGTTATGCTTTGTTGACGAAGCTATTGTAATTCAATTTATAAAATACTTTGCCATTAATTATACTAAAAACTGTTCCTTGTCACACTGCTACAAGCTGACATTCAATCGATTTTTAATCGGCCAAGTGCCAGTAGTATTTATACTTCGCTCTATCTATGCCATAGGAATATCGACGTTATTCCATAAATGTAAGAGCGATTGCAGCGCACATTAAACGACGGGCGACCGTACCTGATTTATTTAAGACAACAACGAATGAAAGGAATAACCTCGGGCTAACTAGTGCACCCACAGATAATCCCAGTCTTGAGTTTGGCGTTTGATCTTGCAAAATATTCTATTAGTTATATTTATGTTGTTAGTGTTTTAGTTAGATTTCGGATCTCGCGACAATTGGGTTTTACTTTTTTAGTTTACCTAAACGATAATAAAGTGTTAGTGATGGTTTTTTTTTATAGAAGGCGTGTTGCATGCGGCCTAATGTATGTCAGTTGCGTTATTATAAATAAATTTAATATAAATCAAAAGTAGATTTCTTATTATTAATTTTTGCTGTAAAAGTTTTAATGGATTGATTTGAAATAGATTTTTTTTATATGTAAGTACCAACAGATATAACATATTATAATATTTTAAAGTAATAATAATAATACACGCAAAACTCTATTTGTCTGTAAAGATTTTAGTATAAATATTTTCTTGTCGAAATTTACTTTAAAATTTTGTATGACGCATTTATTTTAATGAGATATTTCTGTTTTTAATGACACATCACTGTTGACTTAACAAATAATCACATAATGTACTGTATAAATACCGTAGTTATACTTCGTTTTGAAACCCCAGTGACCCTCCGTAACCGCTAATGCTCAAAATTAAAAGTACTTTTTATAGTGTCGATATATTTTTCAATCATTCGTTCTGTCATTTGTGCAAAAAAACATACATTTGTGACTTGCTAGTCCTATGGACAGTATTGAGACTGAAAGTTTTAAAGTTCGATTTTTAAAAAGGTAATTGTAAGCAATTATATCTGGCGTGCGTTAATTTTCGGAAAATTATCGATTTTTTTAGCCCAGTGGCAAGTTTAATTTAAATCTTTTATATGTATTAAGGGAGAGGCTTTAAAGTGCCTGTAGTTAACCGCCTATTGTATTTATATTTCTTAAAAGCAGGCAGAGCCATAGATTTACAAACTTGTGTTTTATATCAATGCTTGATTTTGGTTCGTTTTGGTAGAAAATTAGATATATCACATGGTGATGTCGTTTTTCCCCCAATCCGCAGCTAATACTTAAAAAGCAATAAGTAAGCTTACGTGTGATTGCTATCAGAAAGTAGCATTTTGTAGCATTGTGTTCATTATATATTTATATTGGGCTCGCCTTACTGTCAATTTTTGTTGACTTTATAATTACTGTATAAATTGAACTTGCGTAATTGTCATCCTTTTGGTGACTTTATAAAACTGCTTAAGATAAATTTAGCCTTAAATTAATTTAAAAAAAATTGAATTGGCATTTTTTACATATTTAAACTTCCCATTCGGTAGAACAAATGTGTTCAAATCTAAATTTCGTAGTGTGATTCTAACGTATTAAAATAGCTTTGGGCTGAGTACTTACGTACACAAACCTTTTCAGAACGTAAAAATTTATGTTCACTTGCATATTATACATTATTCATCGAATACAGATTTATTCGACGTGCAATTGCATAATGAACAACTGTTCTGTTCAGTAAATTCGATTCAACTTTTTTTTACTTACTAATAGACATCAACTTATTTGTTGGCGGCGTTAAAGCATCCATTGGCTCAATTCGTCCCGTTGGCGTAGATATGCTATAAATATCTGGCTTCTGATATATGCTGCTATCGTCATCTCGTTTATAACAGGCTTGTTAGAACACACAGACCGGCTAAGGGAAGCAGCATCAAAGAAGTAAACGATTAATGTTCGATTCCTATA